ACCTAGTAGCAAATTCGTCTGAGAACATATGAAAGCTAACCGACATATCGGCTGCCTCTGCGAGTCGTATAGACCACATCAGAAACGGTTCTGAATGGAAGTAGAAAGGGCGCCGCAGCCCGAAAAGGGAGTGATAAACAGAGGCTTTGTCCTTTTATGCTTTTTCATAAGTTTTGCTAAGTTGTTGAAGTTCATAGGCGCATGAGCACCTACTTCTCATGAAGCACGGCTTCTTAGGAAATGATTATGCTTTCAGCTCGTGAGCAGAAAGGCACATAAGGTACGCAGACCTTGTGATGTAATCACTTCACAAAATGACTTTCGGCAGCTTCTGCTTCTTGGCTTTCTTTGACGGCCGTGTCGCTAAAAATGAACTATGATATCAGCGTAGAGAGTCGAGTGAAGGACTTCCGTGTCCGATGTGGCTCCTTGTTGATATTTTTCAACGTCGACCGTCTGTGTTTTCAATTGCGTTGAGTCATTGCAGTCTAGACGAAGAAAAATTAGGTCACACTAGTTTAACTGCTTGATGTTGTGAATTCGATGAAAAACATCACTGAACAAAGTACAGAACCAGTGTGTCCAAGGACGCGTTCGGAAAAGGTTCGCTGGTTTCATGATTCAAGGACTCAAAATTAGCATACATTTGTAGAAGATAAAGAAGAAACTTGCCGGCTGTGATCAGCGAAACTCTCCACTTTCGATTTCCGTTAGGATTCTTGGGGATACATGTTTGAGTATTTTATATGCTGTTCTTCAGCATGCAACCCAGCGCTACTTGAAGGGAACGGTCCGCGATGACTTATGAAAATGCAAGAGGTTATGTGGGAAGGTAGTGCGGTCCGGAGTGGACAACCCTGTGCCAGTTTCGCGGCGGAAAGTTGTACGGTAAAGGAATTAAGGCGCAAAGTTGCTTCAGTGGTACATCCCTTTTTCCAGTGACTCCGCCTCCAAAGTCGGCTTTCCAGCCAAAGTAATGCTCCCGGGCAAACTACCTTGCGCGGTTCAATGTCTCTTGTAGAGTCATAGGGTTCATTACTGGGAATCAGCCGACGGGAATCGTCCCAGCGCGCGGTCTTTTCGGTCTTTTACCTCTACAGTTGTTTGAGGCTAGAGGAGGCCTGACGAATGCGTTTCCAACGTTCCCTTTGGCATTTTCTCTTCATAGACGGTTCACTTGGCGAATTTTCTTCCACATTTCTGCAACATCACCTAGGCTTTTTATCGCGAACCGTGCCTTTAAAGGCAAAGTCCGCGATCATTCATCATCACAGATAGTGGATTAGGGGCATTGCATATAGACGACGAGGTTCTGCTTAACTCGATGGTGAGGAAAAAAAGGAGAAAAAATTGTGCCAAATGTCCCAGATAGAACTCCATTTCGACCCCAGTTTGTACGTGCCCAATGAACTCCATCTTCAACACTACGCCCTCATCTGCACAGTTGATTCCCCGATAAGAACTCTACGACCGTACAAGTGACGATTTCATGCTTTTTCGTCCTGCAGCTTCGTTTTTCACTGAAAGGCGGGCCTTGAAGGCGGAGTCTGGAGGCGGAGTCACTGGAAAAAAGGAGGCGTCACTGAACCTATATTGCGCTATAGCGCCCCTCCCTTACAATTTTTTGCCGCGAAACCGGTACAAGGTTGTTCGTCGCGGACCACACTAACCTCCCGACATCTTTTTCAACTTCTATACCTGATCGCGGACCGCACCTTCAAGTGGCAGAGGAGGTAGATCTGCAAGATTACAAGATCCAAACAGCGGAAATGCCTTGTAGCATCAGTGGTAGACACACCTTTGTCTCATACAAGAAAAAATGGCAGTTGCCTTAAATCTAAATATCCCACAAATAACCCATTGCGCCAGACGAATGAAGTGCGCAGCCACACCGCTACCACTTCTCTTGAATATGGGGCTAATATCGCGTCTATACGTTTCAGACTTCATGGCAGGGATCGCTCAGAACGCTGGACGATAGCCGATAAGAAAAGCGCTGGCAAAGCGATCAAGAGCCCGCCTAGAAGATCTTGAAGTGACTTCGATGAAAAGCAATGACGGACGCCAGCAAACGATGCTTTAAATTAGGCGAATAACTGCGATATCTGGGACCGCAGCAAGGCGTAGTACTACCGCTAGTAAGCGAGAAAAAAACAAGAGGATGACACCCTGACACCCAGTTTCTATTTCCTAGTGCCTCAATAACCAGCAAGCAGACTGTTGTTAACAAAGTTTATGATAAGAATAAATAATACATGCATACAATAATCCAAACGCGACAATTGGAAAATGTTCGCAAATTGCTATGTATCACATGAAAGTACGTGTTCGAGGTACTGTGAGGTACAGCGTATCATTCAGGTTATATAAGGTCAATAAACAACAAGTACAGATGTTCGACAGTGATAACGCATTTAGTTTTTACTTATGAGGTGTCTCTCCTTATATCTTCCAGGAGCAAAAGACCAGAGAACTTCACTTGAGTAACATCAAGGCATTAAGGAATGAGTTTGAAATAAACATTCTTGAGATTTCGTTCATACTTAGAACGACCATAGAAATTGTCCTACATCACTGCACAGAACCTGAAAACAGTTTTCCGAAAGATGTTCAAAGGTCGGCTCTCTAAAAATCATTCAGTCGCATACCAAGTTTTCTTCCGACACAGGCCACAGTGACGGCAAAAAACTTGGAATATTCTTGTCTTGGTGTGGCCACTAAAGGATGAAATCGTTTGAAATAAAAAATAAGGCTAAGGAATTTTCTTATCCCTAAACTCCAGCATATTACAAATAAACTAGATTGACAGCATCCACTCTCTATGTTCCGAAGTCGATTCTGAACATTCACTTCTAGCTTTTTAAAAGAAGACCAAACACCTCGCAACGTTCTCACAATGAAAACTGGGATTGAATACACATCACTGACTCTGCACAAAAGCTAGTTTGGATTAATGAAGGGATCTATCCTGGACAGTTTCAGCGAGGAATTTTTGGCCGAACAGGAGAAAATAGGCTCAGAACGGGCGCTTATATTTGCAGTCATTTTCTATGTTGACAATCCACTGTAAATCTCGCAAACAAGCGAAAGGTTGATCAGGATACCCTTGCGCGTTGACGCCGCATTACCCGATAGAAGTTGTCGGCTCCACAGACGTTTCCATAAACATCGGGCTCCTATCATAATATTTGGAGCCACTCGGTTGAACACTTTTCTACGACATTCCCCGTCTACGGATACTTGAGAAAGCCGCTCGAAAAATCAGTTCTTGGGAAAGCAAGACTGTGATGGTAGCGAAAAATATTTCGTACCAATCTTCACTGCAGCCTAGGTGTTTTCGTAGCGGTCAATTTGTCGAATCTTCTTTTTCTTGTAAAAGCCCATAGGGAGCCTGCCACTTCGAATGTCTTCCGCCAAACGCTGCGAGCTCTCACCATCAGCCAACGGTATTAAATATTTGATTGCCAAAAAACCATGACCCGCATCGCGCCGCGACCGTGCTTCTTCAGTAATACGGTCCTTCTCATTATCGTCCCTGATTAAATCGTCTCATGATCAGGAAATCTATCAAGGTATGCGGAGCCACAGACGTTTTGGCGGAGTAGTTGCACATCCTCGTGTCTACCGTCGCTACCATAACCTTGTGACGTGGACTCTTGTACGCTGGGCTCTTCGCTGCGTCTTTCATAATTTCTCCTTCGAACAAGCATAGAGTACTTGTAGGTGATTCCGGGCCATCGAGGTCAGGTGGTCCTCTTCTGAATGGCTTCTAAAGCCGTCTCTTCTGAATGGCTCAAGCAATCGTCTTCTAAAGACATAGTGGATGGTAGCATCGTATCGTTTCGTCTACGAACCACGTAGCATTCAATAATCAAACGAAATTTATCAAGTTTCGCATATCATGACGAAGGGGCATCAGTGTACTATTACTGTAGAAAACAAGAACATTGTGAAGTTTTCACCCGCCACTTTCGAAAAAATTCGTATCTTTTAGCCTAACTTCCAATTCGCAAAAAAGGGCAATGCACATCTTTTCCTCCAAAGTAATCCTTATCCACTATATAAATTTCAGACCGTTTCGTTCTTGAGTAGCCGCTCTGGAATATAGGCGGAAATATAGCCCACGGTCCTCATCTGGAACAAGTTGCTGCTTTCTGCAAGTTCTCGGGATTATGAATTTGATCCCATGAACTTCTTTCATATTTGGAAGCTTTCACAAACAGCGTACTTATGAATGAAGTAATGGCACCAATTTTCCACGGAGAGTTTTCTAAGGGGAAGAATCAAGAAATCGCATTATCTGCGCTGGCGATTCACTGATCACCTTCGGAAACCAGCCCTTTTCGCGAAACCCTTTTTATGACAACGTCAAGTTCGAAGGCTACGCATTTATTGTAGGCCCAAATGGAGAAAATAGAACGGAACGACGACAATTCGACACCGGAAGTGGCCTACTACAGGTTCCTAAGGTTTCCTTTCAGATTTACTGTGATGACCCAAAATAATGTGTGTACCATTATCCCCCCCCTCCTCCTCCTAAGGCCTTTAAAGTAAACTAACCACGAACTTGTGCGGAACTGTCGTCTCCGAGGCGATCGAGGACGAGGAGAGGAGAGGCGATGCCCAGTAAACAAGGGGCCCCAATCGATGGCCGAGTAAACAACAACCAGTTGAGCGAAGCACGCGCTGCGGGAGTAGAATGCCTCCAATTTTCCCACGGCAATGTCTTCGTTCTTTTTTGCAAAGTAAACAATACACGATAACTTTGGTCCCTGCAAGGAAAGGGAAGCATAGGCACTGGCACTATGAAAGTAACGCGAAACGGCAGACCCCCCCCCTAAATAGGGCCCTTGTCAGTCACTCCCATCAGGGACAGTAGGAGCCTACGCATGAGATAAACCATCGCTGGTCAAAGACCAATGTGAAAAAAAAATCACGGCGATTGCAAATGACATTATCAGCAAGGATCCTCAACAGAAGCAGGGACATTTTCACGAAGCATATCGGGGGGGGAAAGGACCCGAAGACTCGCGGGAATCGTAAAAAGCAAAAGAAGTCTAAAATTGAACCAGGCATTCTTGCAAAAAAATCTTGTACTCTCCCAAAGAAGATTTTCGTTACCAATGAGAACTAACTTCTTCACAAAGAACTCTGATGAAGGGAGAGGAGCGCCATTCAGCAGCAGATTGTAAATGTGGGCTGGTGGTTGTTGGTGGGAGTACAGGTGGGCATGTTAAGCCTTGCAGAGACGCTTAGTGACCGCTTTTGGTTGAAAAAGACGCCATGCAAAGCTTGCTCAGGGGCGCGCTATTCTTTGGTGACCGGCGCACTCATCTTTCATGTCAAGGGTGGGATCAATTGTGCCCCTCGACTTCAAGCGTCGTTTGCTTCTTGAGGGGGTATGCCACTCACTCAGCACTTACAGAATTTTAGAAATAAAAGAATTTGCATAACCGCGGAACCCACTCTTAGACGAAGGTGGTGCAGTCTCCAGTGCAGGGGCAAGTCGTACGCTAGATATGCCTTGGTTTCAAGAAAGTTGAAAACATTCGAAAAAAGTGGTAGGGATTGGGAAAACTTAGGAAGAGGATCGATAGGGAGTCTTATTTCGCAGAAATTCTCACTAGCGGTGAGACGCGCCCTGGTCCAGTGGCCCGCTTCTATGCGCGCGCGGTTCGAGGATCGAATCCCCGGTCGCCAACCGTTCTTGCTAGCTGGCTCCAGCCAACCAAGCTTTGCAACCGTTCGGGGTCGGTTAATCAGCATGAGACTCTTCTTTGAGGCTGAAAACACAGACTTGTGCATCAAATGAACCCCGCTAGTCATCGCAATGGCCAAATCGCAATCAATATACCACTAGCATTCTGAGCAGAAGTACACTCGAAATCCCTGAGATCGGCGGCTGCGTACTTGATTTTGAAATGGCGGCGGCCCACGTTTTCGTGAGATACCTTCATTTTGCAGCAGTCGTAGTCATGTCTAGTCCTAACATAGAACAAGATAACATTTCTTTCAAAATGAAGTATCCCACGAGTAACCAGTCCTATACCATGTAAAGCCACGCCTACTCCGCCTCAGGGATAAGGAGTGTATGTATTATAGAATGTGCTGCGTCGGCACAAAGAAATCGCGTTAACGCGAATGTTTTACTTTAAGCTTTTCCTATTTAGTGCCACTGTCATAACAGTTGATGAGACGAAACGGATTCTTTACAGTGTTCGGGGTAGGTTCAGTGTGTTTTTATAAAGGCAAGAACAATAACAATAAGTTGTAATAAGCTCTTTATGTAACGGAACCCACGTATACTCGAAGAGGACGATTGAGGAAGTATGATTCCCCTACCTGGCTTGACCCCGCGTCAGGTAGGGGGCGGACTTAATGAGGGATCGTCGTCTCAGACTGTGAGACGACGATGAGGGAAGGAATCGTCGTCGCAGACGACGATACTCCGCCGGCAACGGAGTTTACATTCAATGGGGTTTTATACAGAGATACTACAGAACGAGATTATCAACATATAGCAGTAAATTTGGTACTGCTCGGGCGACCGCGGTGGCAGCTGGACGGCCATGACGTTGGTTGGACGGCTGAGGGCGATGGCAGCTAGAGGGGGATTGCAGTGGTTGGACAAAGGCGGTGGATCTGCACGTTGGTGTGTGATGGACGGCTGTAGCGGAAGGCGACGTCGATAGTGAAAATAGAGACAAATTAATTCACAAATATAGTGTAACAGTGGAGATCAAAGGATCGATCGGTTAAGACAATTTGACTGTCGCTCTTGCCGTGTTGAGCCCACCTGAGAACCCCTCATGTACGGTGCCGTGAAATGTCGGCGTTGCCACTATAATATTTGTTTCCACTTTTGCGTCGGTTGGTTTTACTGGAGCCACCGTGGTGCTGGATCACTTATCCCTCCATGGCATTCACTGGTCGAAGAACGACGACAGTATGCCCGGCTAAAGCCAGCAGGCTGGAGGTGGGTAGAGATTTTTTCAGTTATTAATTCCCTGGGTGGCACTTAGGGCCATAAAGGGGTATTGATTAATTTTGCGAAAACTACCCAATGAGGTGTGGTGATTGATTATTTTTGATTACCTGACATGATGGTGGGCCGGACACGTCATGCGTTTCGAGGACGACCGCTGGACCAGAGCAATCACCGACTGGATTCCACGGGATGTCAAGCGAACGCCTGGAAGACCGCCTACGCGATGGTCAGATCTTCTTCGTGAAAGCTCTGAACGAATGGTATGAATCTCTGTGCTCCCTCGAAGCTGATAGAATGTCATTGGGCAAGCTCTTGCACGTTGCAGGACGAAATGGAGACGACTCGCGCTGCGAGAATCAATGGATCAACGGGAGCACAGGTGACAGGTGATCTGACATGAATGGGATGGGTTAATTGGGCCATCTAGGTGCCGTCTTTTGCATGTTATTGATTTTGGTTCTTTTTCGGTATATAACTGATTGTGCATTTATCTATGATGATGGTCTTTTGTTGTTCTCGTTTTCATCTTGAGCCTTTATGAGATCTCTTGCTCTGGATTACTTGAGCTTTGGATTATTTGATTCTCTTATTCGTTGATGGTGCTGGAGTTGGATTGGATAGCATGTGTTAACTCAAATGGAAGGGAGACTGGGTTTATTGCGGGTTGGTGCTCCTTCTTCCTGACAAGCTCTCTTTGAGCTTGATGGATAGTCGGCTCGTGTTTTTGAAGAGCCGTGATAGCAAGGAGCCCAGAAAGGATATTCCCGCCTTAGCAATGAACAATATGATGAGCGGGCCTGCTAGGTAGGTAAGGGCTGCTATACCTAATGTGGTAGTGATGCAGGCCAGTGCTAGTTTCCAGTGGGTCTTGATCACATTGATTAATGGATCGAGACTTGGAATGGTGATATCGCTGAACCACTGATGTTTCAGTGGGACACCGTGGGTTTTCCTCTCGAAGACTGAAATGTCTTGAGGATCTTCTATGTGGTAGTGTAAGGATCCGTTCAGCAGAAACGTGGTAGGCTTTTCCGAGCAATGAGCGTTGCATTGTTCGTGTACTACGGGGTGATCAAAACTTAGGACGATGCTGTTGGTTTCGTTGGATGGTCCACATTTGACCAAAAACTGATGGGACTTACAGGTCACGGTTATTGTGGCCTGTATGCTGGTTCGGCAAACGGCAGTGAAATGTGCACCTATGGCGCAGTCATAGCAGCCGAAAACTTCGGAGACATGGAATTCGCACTCTTGGCTTGTTACCAATTCAGCTGCATTATGCAGCATCCTGGACTCAATTCTTATAACCAGTTCCTCCTCGTTGGACGTAGCAACGATATCGTTTGCCTCAGCAGTTATTTTTACATGAGGCAATTGTAGAGGTAACTTGCTTTCCGGGTTGTCAGAAAGTTTCTGGAAAGAATCGTCAGGACATCGGCAACTTAGCGG